ATCGTTCAATTTCTTCATTTTTCTAGTTTCGATTTCGGTTATACTTCTATTCAAAGTATTAAAATTCTTTTTTCTGAAATGACTAATGATAATGTTTCATACTCAATCTTTATTGATGGTTTACCATCCCATTCATAAGTAAGTCAACAGCCTACATCGTCATAAATCGAACATTTATTGAAACGAAAACATATAAATAAAGAATCTATTGTAAGCGAAAATACACAAAGACATACATCTGCAGTATGGTCGACTTTCGGATTTCCTATTCAACTTGTAAAAGATGGTGAATATCAACGTATATATGGTTTTGCCAGCTGTTTTGAATCTAAAGCAACGTATACATTTCAATCAAGTGGATGTGGTAGTACAAAACATCTATTACGTTATGTTTGTTTAAAACTATCATCATCATCTGAAGATCATCCTAAGGAACCTTTAGAAAAATTATTCAAATCAAAACAAAAGGTACAACCACATTAGAATGCAAAGATTCTACTACAATGAAAGAGGAGTTAACAAGATGAGTCTGTTGTTCTGTATGTCCATTTAATATTGTTGAAGATGTAGGATTTCAAAATGTTTTGCAAACTACTTCAGATTTAAATAAGTTGGAGTTGACTTATTTCTATCCAAGAATAAATATTGTACTTTCTAGATAAAAAATATCAAGATCTTAGTGCTACTGATCTTCTAGTGAACAAGCAGCAATTGGTTATGTATGTTTATGTCCTGATGGGTGTGGGTGTGGGTGCAGATGAAGAAAATGTCACACTCACACGCACACCCACACCCTTCTCACACCCGCCCACACCCACATCCTCCCTACAGTCGAGGGAAAAACGAAAATGGTCATCACTTCTCCATAATGCTTCAAGTGACATGGTTTCAGCGAAATTTACTTTGCAGTGCTAATGGCAGGTATATACTCTAGAGTAGCCTATTGAATAACTGATATAATTACAAATTCGATACTATGTAAATTTATGCAAGTCTTCCATCTATAAAACGTCTATAATTTTCTACATTCTCATGTTCGTTGACATTATGCATCTGAAACATACTTAGGTCAGTCCAAAAGTAGTGAGAGTAACGCTTTAATGCCATATAGCAAACTGAAGGAGAGTTTCTTTTATTATGAAACGGTAGAGAAAAAAATGCTCTATCTTTCTATGCTATTTGATCATACTTTAGTTAATATTATGATAGAAAAGTTTTCATAACATTTATTTTGATATTATGTATTTTGGTTACAACACTACATATAGTCATCGATATGGGTTCGATTCTTAATTTTTTCTCTTTATTCTGCTTCTTTCTTTCTCTTATGTTTTTCGTTATTATCTTTTCTACGCTCATGCGTCGTTATGCAATAGGATAGACATCAGATGATGATCACAGATAAGAGACACCAAAGAATTTTCATCAAGGTTTTATATCATTAAATGCTCAAAGTTATCTCCTTCATTACTCACACACAGTTTCATCCGTTCAATCCATTTATCAAATGTTTTTCTATACTCCTTTTTATCCAAAGAGTATATGAAATCTCTCACAGCACGATGTAACGAGTCGGAATTGCTTTGATCACCTATGCTTTCTTTGATCAAGTCGAATAACCAGAAGTCACAATGTGCTAGATCTGGAGAATTCGGCGGATGTGGTACTATCATGAATCCTTCTAATTGCAGACAGGAAAAAAGGCATGC